CTGAGGGTTGCGATCCGTTGTCGGTCACGAAAAAAGACAAAAAGGAAAAAAAAAAAAAACCCCAGAAATCAGAGTCCAGCTGTCCAGGTTGGAGGCCATGGATGAGCTGCTGTTCTATTTTACTTTTCCTGCCTATTCCCAAACCCAGCTCCACCCACCCTGACACCTTGGGAATGCTCCTCAGACTTCCAAGCCTGAGAAGCCTCACCCAGCAGCACATGAAAGTGATGAGGTGCAGTGTCCCCTGCCTTCTGCAGGGGTCCCCAGTCCCCACCCTCCTGCTCTTTCATTGTGTCCTCTTTTCACCTCTCTCAAACCTCCCACTTCCCTCCATTCCATCTCCTTTCCCAGGCTCTAGAACTCTTGTACATCTCAAAATCTCCTAGGAGGTTGTTTAAAAATGCAGATTCCTGGGCCCGGCTCTGATTCAGAATTTCCCCACGAGGTTCAAAATCTACAGGATCCTCCTCCTTGTAATGCCTGCCCATCCCAGATGTGACTGCTGTGATCTTTGAGGGAGCTTTGTAAACTCTGAGGGGCTGGGCTGTCTGCACTCCAGAAAAATAGAGGGAAGACAAAGACTCTGGAATCTGCTCAGACAGGATCTGGGAATACCAAGTCTGCCCTCCCGGGTCTCAGTGGAGCCCAAATTGAAGGGCAGTAGGACCTGGGATGGCATTGCCTCTAAGGAAGGCTGTTGTCCTCTTCCGGGCTGGTGCTAATCTTCAGGGCTGCGATAATGGTGTCTCCCAGGGGCTGCTGTCCAGGGCCTCCACCCCAGGCTCACCTGTGACCTCTCTCTGCAGCTCAGGTACCAGACAGTGATGAACAGTTTGTTCCTGATTTCCATTCAGAAAACTGTGAGTAGAGGGCCCTGGGTAAAGGGATGGGGGGTGGGGGAGGGCAGGACATGAGTCATAGGGACAGTGAATCACAGATCAGTTTGTTCTCCTAAGGAAAAGGGCGAGGGTCAAGGCCCCTCATTTTGGGGTTTGGACTCAAAGACCAAGGCAGTAACTGGGAGATGAAGACCTTGGTTCACAACTGGGGCTTGCCCTGTCCTAGCTGGGTGACCTTGGAGCAGACACTTTATCTCTCTGATCCTCCACTTCCTTATATCTGAAGTGAGGGGCTTGGGCCGGTTCAGCTGGGCTCAGTTCTAATGTTCTAAGTTACTATCATGGAACTGGGGCATCTCTTGCCCCCGAGGAGACATTTGGCAATGTCTGTAGACATTTATGGTTGCTACTGCTGAGGGTGGGGTGCTACTGGTATCTAGTGGGTAGAGGACAGTGATGCTGCTAAAAACACCCTACAATGCTCAGAACAGCCCCCCACGATGTAAAAAATTACCTGGTTCAAATGTCAATCGTGCCACTGCTGAGAAACCCTGCTTTAATGTCAGATACTTTGCTCTCAACTTTCTTCACCAATGAAAGGAAACAGGGCACAAATAATAANCGAGGAGACATTTGGCAATGTCTGTAGACATTTTTGGTTGCTACTGCTGAGGGTGGGGTGCTACTGGTATCTAGTGGGTAGAGGACAGTGATGCTGCTAAAAACACCCTACAATGCTCAGAACAGCCCCCCACGATGTAAAAAATTACCTGGTTCAAATGTCAATCGTGCCACTGCTGAGAAACCCTGCTTTAATGTCAGATACTTTGCTCTCAACTTTCTTCACCAATGAAAGGAAACAGGGCACAAATAATAAAGAACAGGAGATAACAGAACAGTTGGTTAGAGGGTGTTAGACAGGACTATGTTAAGACTGAATGTCACTGCTTGAACCAACTCTGCTGCTCAGCCTGGTGGCTGGCGTTTGAGAACCCAGCAAGGGCCACAGGAAAGGCCAGTGTTCTTCACAGGTAATTAGCAGCATGTGTATGTTATTCAGCTGACATTCAAGTGGGCTAATATCCAACCTTAGCCAGAAAAAGAAAGATTCTTTATATCCTCAAATAAGAAAACATTTCCCTCCCTTGGAATTTTCCAGGGCACTCAGGAAAACCACAGGCCTTAGGCTGGAGGTGCTCACTCCTACAAAGGTGTTTTCTGGGGTTTGGGGTTGCATTAAATGTTGAACTTTAGAGAGTTTCTTTGGTTAGTATTGGACATTAGCCTGACAAGTAAAACTAGGCATAATGTAAATAGCCAAAATGTTCTTAAAAGTATCTGACAATGGAGCTTGAAAACTGACACCCAGAGAGGGGAGGAGGCTGCTGCAGTCACCCAGCCAGTCCTCAGAGCACAAGGTGTAGACGCCTTGCCTGCCGATTGTGTGACCCGCTCCGGCCTTGCTCTGCCCCCTCTCCCCCGACAGTAGCTTTCCACAGCCCCACCACCAGGATCAAGAAGGAGCCCCAGAGTCCCCGCACAGACACGGCCCTGTCCTGCAGCAGGAAGCCACCACTCCCCTACCACCATGGCGAGCAGTGCCTTTATTCCAGGTGAGCCCCAGCCCCGCCCTGGTGAAGGGTGTCAGGAGGAAGGAGGTACTCTGACTAGGGGGGGAGGCAGGGAGACCCCCATGGACAGAAGCAGCAGTCGAGATGCAAGTTAGACACAGAAAGGACTGCCTAGCTACTGTAAGGAGCAATATGGCTAAGGATTGTCTCTAAGTAGTCAGGAGCAGAGGGCTAGAAGCAGCAGTCGAGATGCAAGTTAGACACAGAAAGGACTGCCTAGCTACTGTAAGGAGCAGTATGGCTAAGGATTGTCTCTAAGTAGTCAGGAGCAGAGGGCTTCAGCACCGTGTGTAAGGCTGGAGCAGTCTGTTTCCAAGAAGCCCTTTGTCCTACCCAAACCAGCTGCTCTGGGATGGGCAGAGGTGCTCTCAAGGTGAGGCCCGGTTTCAGGATTGATGAGAGGAGGAACAGAATGCACGTGGGGCTGTGTCTATGGCTCCTGCCGTGCCCTTGCCCGCCCCGCTACTCTTCCTTCTCTCATATCCCTGTGACCTCACTTCCCTGGGGATGGCAGGCTCAAAGATGCTTGCCCAGCTTCTCTGCCCCCTCACCCCTGTCTCCCCTCAACTCCAGTGCCTATGATCCCCCCAGACAAATCGCCATCAAGTCCCCTGCCCCTGGTGCTCCTGGACAGTCGTCCCTGCAGCCCTTTCCCCGGGCAGAACAGCGGAGTTTCCTGAGACCCTCTGGCGCCTCCCAGCCGCACCCTGGCCATGGGTACCTCGGGGAGCATAGGTAAGGAGACAGGTAGCCCCACAGTACTCGTAGGCCCAGGGCTCACCAGTTTCTTCTCAATCCTTGAGTGTTCTCCATGGAGAGCTGGCATGGGGGGAGGAAGGGATATTGACACCACCCCCTCCCACTCCAGAGCCCACTCCAGAGCCTGGGAGTGACAGGCTCCAAGAGGGGTTAATTTAAGATTCTCTTATCTTCAGCTCCGTCTTCCAGCAGCCCCTGGACATTTGCCACTCCTTCACATCATCTCAGGGAGGGGGCCGGGAACCCCTCCCCACCCCCTACCAACACCAGCTGTCGGAGCCCTGCCCACCCTACCCCCAGCAGAGCTTCAAGCAGGAATACCATGACCCCCTGTATGAACAGGCGGGCCAGCCGGCCGTGGGCCAGGGTGGGGTCAATGGGCACAGGTACCCAGGGGCGGGGGTGGTGATCAAACAGGAGCAGACGGACTTCGCCTACGACTCAGGTAAGAGCCTCTCCTGGGAAAGGCATGGAGGAATTTTTCTGGGATGGCCAGGTGGGGTGGATGTGATCCAGTGAACAGTTCAGTTAAGCCCAGAATGTCTCCCTGTGACTTTTTTTCTTTTTACCTTCCCATCCATCCATTTACCAGTTCAGGTATCCAACCCACCCACCCACTTTTGTTTTTCATAGATTCAAAAGAATTGTCATTTTTCAATCAGCAAACATCAGATAAAAAGATAAGCGGGGGTGTAGATCCTTACCATTGGGTAGCTTGTGACTTAATAGGAAAGTTATGGTATTTATTTCTATTTAACAGTTCTTTGGGGGTTTAATTACCTACCAAGACCAAAGTACAAGGGTACTTCAAAAAGTTTGTGGAAAAACAGAATTAAAAGATAATATAAAGGGCTGGCCGGTTAGCTCAGTCGATTAGGGCACAGTGCTGATAACATCAAGGTTAAGGTTTGGGATCTTTGTGCTGGCCAGCCGCCACACACACAAAAAAAAAAAATACTAATCTTTCCATGAACTTTTTGAAGTATTCTCATACTGTGCCAGAAACTTGAGTGTGCAGAGTTGGAGGATACAAAGATAAATAGAATGTGTCATTGGTCTCTGTCCCCACAGAAGTTTAAAAATACAAAGGGATTTGAATGAAGAAAAACACGAACTCGAAACTAGCCAGGCTCATGGTTCCCAGTAGGAAGGCAAGGTTAATACGGGGTTTCCACATCCTGTTCGAGCCTCCACCCCGGATGATGGATGATCCAGCACCCTGGCCAAAAGCTGGGTACCGGAAGTAGGGACTGCTTTAAATTCTAGTTCCACCTGGCTGTTGATGGGAGTGAGATGCACTCAGCCAAGTTCATAAATAGCTATAGTTCAAAGCCCCAAGCTCCGAGTTCATAAATAGCCATAGTCCAAGCCCCAAGCCCATTCTCAGTTAGGAAGGGCCCAGAAAACTCTGCCTTCTCTTCTTTCCTCCTGGCTTCTGTTAAATTGTTACTAGCCCCAAATCTGAGTGTATGTGCAAGTTTGCATTAGAAAACTAAATTCAGAGGTTAAACTAGGTTCGGATCTGGCTAGAGAGCTTTATACTTTCTCTTTTCCTGGTGCCCACAGTCTTTCAGGGACGTTTGCATTAGAAAACTAAATTCAGAGGTTAAACTAGGTTCGGATCTGGCTAGAGAGCTTTAGACTTTCTCTTTTCCTGGTGCCCACAGTCTTTCAGGGACGGGGATGAACCACAAATCCCCAAGCTGCCTGAGTGAGAATTGGGTGGGTGCCCCTGTCCTCAAACCCAGGGCATGAGCCTGTGCCAGGGCATAAGCCTGTTGCCAGGGCTTGAGCCTGCGCCAGGGCATGAGCTTGCTGCAGTGAAGGGAGAGGAGGAGCCGGGAGAGGGAGGGAGATGTACCTCCACCCAGAGGGTTTCTCTGGGCCCTCTCCTGGTGATGGGGCCATGGGTAAGGCAGCCCCTCCTTCCCTTGCCAAGCCTTCCAAGTTGGGGGAGGGAGCTCTGCCATGGGGGAGGGTCTCCCTGGCCAGGAGTCCCTGTGGACTCTCTGGGGTTTCATCAGTGAACCCCCAGATCTGAGCGACCCCCAACTTCCTCCACAAGGCTATGGCTATGAGAAAACTCTGCAACCTTTCCCAGATGATGTCTGCGTTGTCCCTGAGAAATTTGAAGGTCAGAGAAGTGACTGTTCGTGGGAGGGTCAGGGTCTCATCTGTGCCCTCTGTGTCCCTGCAGGAATCACATGACATTTTATTGTTGTGAGAGGGTGGGACACATGGTAAAGGTCCTGGGGAGACCTCCTGGGGAACCCCTGGGGAGAGGGGAGGAGGTGCCTTGGGAGACCTGAAGACACAAACCCCACACCTGTTTCCATGTTCCCCAGGAGACATCAAGCAGGAAGGGCTTGGCACGTTCCGAGAGGGGCCACCCTACCAGCGCCGGGGTGCCTTGCAGCTGTGGCAGTTTCTGGTGGCCCTGCTGGATGACCCAACGAATGCCCATTTCATTGCCTGGACAGGCCGGGGGATGGAGTTCAAACTAATTGAGCCTGAGGAGGTGGGCCTCTCAGAGGACTCCACCCCCTCCTCTGGGCCTGGTGATGAGGGAACCTGGGAAATGGCGGCACGTGCCTTCACCATCGTCCTTGCTTTATCCAACCCAAGTTCTTTTTTTTTTTTTTT